ATCGATTTGCGTGAATATCAAGATAAAACTAAGATGTCAATACAAGTATCATAAATTATATACATACCGAGGCAAGTCATGGAACACGACCAACTCGTGGTTCAGGCCGGAGAGGAGCAGGGATCTGGTTAGGTCCCCCACCCTTCGCCCTTCTGTATTGTCATGTGAAGTGGTCAGTGCAGCCCACCCCCCGCCCTTTCATCAACTCACCCCTGCCGCGCACCCGAGCTTCCTCGATGCTCTACCCCAGCCCCGCTCTGTCCTAGCTGCGGGCCGCGCGGCCTTCTCCCTCAACTCGACGGCCGCCGCTCAGAGGCCGCATAACATACTGTAGACACCCCATTTTGGACGTCCCAAGACTTGACGTCACCATTGGAACACTTGATGATACCCTTGTTGTGTTCGTCTGAGTTTTCCCGGAGGTCTCGGTTGCGCGCCTTGCCTCAGGATCTCTCGACTTGACCGTGTTTGTGTCTGTTTTGCACCAAAACTTCTGTTTTGCCTTAATGGGCAGGGAATGCCTTGTGAGGCATGCCCCACACATCACCGGCCATGGCTTGAGGCGCCAACCATCGGCCAGTGATTTTATGCCATCGGCAATGTATATTGCCGGTCGGCACTCTTTGTTGCCGGTCGGCTATTTATTTTGCCAAAATGGCAATTTTGAATGGCCGATCACTGTTCATCTACTTTTAGTAGATATTTTGTGCCAGCTGTGATAGCTGGCACGCACTCTGTTCTCCTCTATACACATGTATTGAGGGATTTCTCTCTTGACAAGCTTATTTGACAAGCTTTACAAGAGAGAGTTTCCTGTCTTGGATTTAGGGTTAGACAACATTTTTAGAGAGCTTTGATATTAGGGTTAGGAATTTGTATCTATTCCATCTCTATATTTCCCTCTCTTGTTAGTCTAGTGTGTGTTTGGTCTTACTTTTGCACACAAACACCCACCATTACACCTTTTCTTGGTTATTAAGGGCCAAAGGAGTTTTCTTGGAGGTTTTGAAGCTGGTTTCAACCTAAAAAAGCTGCTAGAGCTCCATTGTTGAAGAGAGTCTTCAAGAGTAAGAAGCTTGCTCCTTTTTACCCCTTTCTTGCATTGTATTTTTGCCTACCTTACAACTATTTTTGTGTTTAGCATATAACATAAACAAGTTCTATTTTTAGGCCCTCTAAATAGTTTCTTTAGAGTGTTTTGTGGTTTGGAGGTGTTTGACCCCTCTTAGGCCTTGATAGGCCCCATTTTGTGCTATTTTGAGTGAGTTTCGAGACTTTGGTGTTTGGGCCTCTTCACCACTGAAATCTTGAGGGATTTCAGTGGCGGAGATGGTGCCTTGAAGTCTCCAAAAGGGGAGGGCCACCCCCTCTCCTTGTTGTCCTTGAAAGGGACCCTTTTTGGCCTCTTGAGAGAGCATCATGTTAGAATGTGTATTGATCATATCTTGGCTGTTTTCCACGCTTATTATGCCATGACATAACCTTGTTGTGTGTTGGTTTTGGTACACCATGCATGTTTAGCATACCTACCATGTAATGCCATGTTATTGCCTTAATATGCCTTAGGTTGTTAGCCTTTGTTCTAGCATGTTTTAGGTCTAGTTTTGTGAAGCTTGTATGCTTATTTTGCCATGCTAGAGGTCTGTCCATAGTTGTTTGGGTCGGCTTTGCCGTGCATTATATGCCCCTAGCTTTGTGAAGCTTTCATGCTTATTTTGCCATGTTTGAGGTCTGTCCTTAGCCATTTTGGTCGACCATGGCATGCATTATATAGCCCCTTTGCGTTTTGGCTTGTTGGCCTCAAGTGTGTGAGTGTGTTGCATGCATCACTTGCTCCGATTTAGTGGGTTGGGATCATTTTCCATGTTATTTCAGTCCCTTTGATATGCTTGTATGCTTGCCTTGGACACCTCTTTAATGCTTTGAAAGCTTATGTTATATGCTCCATGTTTTGGCCTTTGTGCATGCTTTTGAATTTGAGCCACTTAGATGCCATCTAGGGGGTCCTTTTACATGGTCTAGGTCTGCCTTGGACCTGTTTTAAGCCTTCTTGCCCTTGCGAGGCTTGGTTGGCTTAGCCATGGTTTAAGTCCCCTTTGACTTGCTTTAAATGCTTGGATCATTTGCATGCTAATGTTTGTCTTGTTTAAGTTGGTTTGGCACCTCTTATAGCATGATTTTCAAGGCTTATAATACATGCCATATGTCCATGATTATTCCCTTTCAAGTGTGCTTAAAAGTTGTCCTTTGATGCTTAAGCGTTAGGCCTTAACATGTGCATGTGTGTATGTGTGTTTGGTCCCATTTTCTTAAGCTTTCGGCCACTGTTTTGGACCTAACTTAGAGCTGTCCAATTAGTGTAAGTCCATCCCTTGCATGCCATTCAAGTGTTGTTACATCATCCCATGTTTGCATGCTTTGGTTGCACATGTTACATGCTTGAAATCACTTGCATTCGCCTTGCATTCCATTGGCCAAGATGCTAGCATGTTGCGTGATTGGATTACATCTTGCATGTTCTAGTGGTTTGCATAATTGTGGCATGCTTGTTTGCTTTGTTGCTTAGTTTGTGTACCTAACGTGCATTGCATGTTTGTATGCTCTCTTTTACGCCATGTTGCATATTAGCTAACATGATTTTAGAGCTTAATGCATGCTATATGTCCATGTTTGCATCCTCTTTAGTGTGTTTGAGAATTGCTCTTTAATGCTTGAAGTGTTGGAGATCATTCGCATGAATGTTTGTGTGCCTATTAGTCCTTCATTTTTGAGCACCTTGGCCACTGTTTTAGTCCTAGTAAGGGCTGCCTAAACCGTGCTTAAGTCCATCCTTTGCTTGTTTGCATGCTTCCCTTGCATATTTGCTTGCATACTTGTATAAATGCATTGTATGCCCATGTTGCATGCTAGTTCACATGCCTAGGTTGCACTCCATCTAGCATGCATGCCTTGTTCCTTGATTTAGTGATGGGGGTTGGGCCTTTGTTTGTTGGTTTGCATTGCATTTGAAATCAACATGCATAACCTGGTCTCTTGGGCCATCATGCATTGAAATGCGCGATTGATGGTCCGAGAACCAAGGACCATGTCCCTTTGAGTCATAAACATGATAAAGGATATGGTCGGTGCATACATTGCATGAATTGCATTGCCATGCAAAGCCCTGTCCTCTGCTGCTGTCAAACAGATTCTGCAGGAACTTTTTGCCGATCGACTGTACAGAGTGCCGACCGGCAATCCATATGTGGCCGATGGATTCATTTTTGGCCGATCGACACCAAATCATAGCCGATGATGATTCCCTCCGGTCAGTGGCATTCCCCAACATCCAGTGAGCACATCCTGAGACTTTGGCAGTCTTCAGAGAAGCAGAGCAGGGAAAACAGAGGCAGCTTGTACATGGCAGTGGACTTCCGAGCAAGACCCGAGCACGCGTGCATTGAACCCTCTTCCCGAGGCCCTTTTTTCTTGCTTTCTTAAATTAATTAATTTGTTTAATTAATTTAGTTGGTCTGTAATAATCAATTAGCTAGGATAGTTAATTCATTATCTGAATTGTATTATTCTTTTGGTCCCTCCGAGCGAGGGCGAATTTGTAATAAGTGTGGGTAAGTGTGTGCATGTCTTCCAACCCCCACTTCTTTCTCCCTTTTACTTACCTGCTTTGATGGTTAGTAATAGGTCACGTTTAATTTAGCATACCTTATGCTATGCATGTGTGCATCATTCATCAGTATTGCATGCACCGGGCTCGGCGCATCATTCTAACTGCATTAGTATTTCAAATCTAACTTGAATATATGCTACTTGTGCCATTTCACATGTCATTCATAGACTAGCCGAGCCTACTCTAGTGACATTCTGTATGCGTTGCATTAGACATTTAAACATGGACTTGGATCATGCATTGATTGCTAACGAGTTCTTTGTTTTGGCACGGAGTATGATGTAAGTATTTATGCTTTAGCATCCTTGCATGCGTGTGAGTGTTGCCATGATAGCATGATTACCATGAGGCTAGCTGCTTATGTGATATAACTGCTTGAATGCCTGTGGGTGAAGGTTGGATTGTCTGAGTTGGAATAGCTCATTGAAATCCGTGTTTTAGCCTACTTGCGAGTAGCAAATTCCAAAACATTTTTCCAAAACAGACGGATATGCAATGCTTATTCCCAAATTGGACAATCTAGTCTATACTTTTGTGCTGTGCACATAACATAGTAATTCTAGGCTAATAATCGAGATAAGAACACATAGCATTTTCAAAAACGGATATCACGGTTAGTAGAGGCCGATCTTCGGATCGGGCGAGAGGGGGTGCTCATAGCTGACCTTCCCCAACCGTACCCAAGTTCCCGAGCCGAAGCAACTTTGGTGATGACGGACACGTGGCCTTTGGCACAAAGTCAGGGTTTCCTAAATTCCCCAAAATAAAATATTTAGGTGGCGACTCTGTATCTGGCAAAGCAGTCCATGTTTGGCACTTCTTTTCAAAAAATCTGTTTCTCAAAACGATTTGCCGGATTTGGACTCTTTGGTTCAGATTAAGAACCGTGACACAAATCGAGTCCGAACTGTAGCGAGGGTCCCTCGCGGGCACGTGCTACACATACGTCTGCACGTACTCTCTGTAGTCGCCTATGCCTCTGAAGCGGGTCGCATCCCAGCCGATCGTGTAGTCAGCCATCTGCTCGGCGGTGAATCTCTCGGTATCCCTCATATGCTCAGGAGGGTGAACCGGGACTATCTGCTCTGGTAACCCTAGGGTCTGGCGTAGGAAACGCTCGCCCAGGTACCAAGCCCGACAGACCGGGCCCTCCAGCAAAATCCGAAAAAGCGAGGTCTCCTCAGCACCGGCAAACCGATCCCGAATCACGGCTGGCAATGGAGCTCAAGGCTGCCAGGTGATCTGAAAATGAAATACAGATTGTTATCTACTATTATTGACAATACAGTGTAAAGCGAAGCTTAAATGAACTGCAAGTAAAACATACCTCTGCGGGAGTGATGGTGTCAAAATAGCGGCGGAAGAAGCTAAACGTCTCCCGAGGCCTCCGCACGCACCTCCTGTTGAAATGGCGCGAAAATGGAACGACGAGAGGGGTCTCCGCATCTGGCACGGGGGTGAGTCTCGGAAAGTAGGCATAGACCCACAACTGCAGAATAAATACCAGTACGGAATAAAACAGAGATAGCAGAGCCGTGTGCAGTGTATTGAGCAGAGTGTACAGTGTGAGCATGTACAATCAGTGTAAAGCAGAGTATGTGTGTGCCGTGTGTACAGTATACAGTCAGTGTAAAGCAGACCACAGTGTGTGCAGTGTACAGAGTACAGTACAGAGTACAGATAATAGAAAGCAGAAATGAAATGTTAAGAAGAAAAAGGAAACGTACCTCCCAAGCGCGCCAATAACCCCCGAGCAACTGTCCGCTGCCACGGGAAGCTGAGTCATGTAGCCGTAAAGTGTAGCCAGAGCGGCGCCACCCCAGTCATAGCGCAGGATCTGTGTGGCATCCACTAAAGCGCTGAGCAAGCAAAGGGGCACGATATTCGCCCAGTCGGTGAAAATAGTCGTCCCCAACAGAAACATCAGAAAGCCGCGGGCGTACTGCTCCATCGCCTCCTGAGTCATCAGAGCCTCCTCGGTCAAAGCTGACTGGACCCTGAACTGGACCTCGAACCAGGAATATCGGACGAAGCCGGGACGTGCGAGAGGTGGCACCTCACCAAGCAAATATGCCTGAGCGGCCTCCCACTTGTCCATGTCAGTATCAAAAGGGATCGGATCACCCCTATCCTGATGCCGGTGAGCATCGAGAAGTCGTAGGGAGTCATCGTCATGTCTCCCGTAGCAGAGAAGTGGAAGGAATCGGTGGTGTCCCACCACCTCTCCGCTAGAGCGGCGAGGAGAGGCCTGCTCGTGGTAAGTCTGGATAGTCCTCTGCAGAATGCGCCGAAGCCGGCCTGATCTACGATGTGGCAAACCGCATCGGGTAGCTCAGCGTACCAGTCTCGGGCGACGATGTTCCCATACCCCCGGACGGTATGGAAATCTCCTTGTTTTCAAACAAACAATTGCGAAGCGATGCTAAATATACCAGTTTTGAAAGGCATTCAGAATTCAGGCAAATATAGCATGTGTGCGTATTTTCAGATTCAAACAACTATTGGTTGCCGGTGTGCTTACAGTGAACTACAACGTGTGATGTGTCAGCGTGTTTGAGTGGTTCAGTACAGATATAGCGTGTGTGCACGTGTTCAGATTCAAATAGGTACCGAATGCCGGTGTGCTCGCAGTGAACTACAACATGTGATGTGCCAGCGTGTTTGAGTGGTTCAGGGAAAATGCAATGTGTGTGCACGTGTCAGTTTCAAACAGATATTAGTTGCAAGTGTGCTCACAGTTAACTACAGTATACAGTACATCAGTGTATCTGAGCTAAGCAGTTAAAGAATATAATCAGTTATGACAGTTGGCGGTTAAGTGTTCTACGTCGCGGAAAGTAAAACAGAGGAAGGAATGTTACCTCGAAAGCGCCGAAGAACAGATGAGATGTAGGCTCACGCAAGAGAAGCTCTGGAGGCATCGCCCTATCAAAGCTCCGAAACTGGCGAAGTCCGTCAAGAGGCAAGACGTGGATCGCCGGCTGGTAGGTCGCTGGGTCGAACGGGCGGACGGTCAAGGGGAGGAGCTCGGCTTCTGGGTCTGTCTCGTGATCCGAGGGAGTCCCGCCCCGTGGAATATCGTCTGCCATCTCAGAGAAAATGAGGAAATGGCCCGAAAAGTGAAAACAGGGCTAGAATGCGAAAGGTCAACAAAAAGTCAACCCCGGGAGGGTGGAAAATGACCGGAAAAGCCGAAATGTGGAAAATGTGATGAAATCAAGAAAAACTTGAGAGAAACAAACTCCAAGAGGTTGAAATCGAAAAAAACTACATCGAAACGAAGTTTCAATCGGATGAAAGTGTTCGAAACGCGATGAACTTCGCGAATCAAACGATGAAACGGGCGTGAAACGCAAGAAAATGGAGAAGGGAAAAGGGAAAAATGCTCTAGAGAGAGAAGGGATGAAATTTCGACTAGAGGGAAGTAAGAAAATAGTGTTTCAAACCCTATTTTAAAAGACCCAAGGCGAAAAGTCAAAACTGCCCCGATTCAGCAACATTTGTCCGGTCGGCTACATTTTTGGCCGGTCGGCCAAATATTTGGCCGGTGAGATGTTTTGATGGCCGGTGGATGGCCGGTGACCTCCCCTGATGGCCAGTGAGCCTTCTATAACCATGTTTGGGTCAGATGTATAGTTTGGGGCATTTATTTCTCAATATAGTGCAAGATAGTACTTTTTCGAAGCTCAACCGGCCTCCGTTTTGACCTCGGACCGTGTCTTCTGTGCATGGCACTCGAATATGTGCAAGGTGTATCCTTTTTGTATCCTTTTGTCTCTTTTAATATTCGAAAGTTGCCCCACATACGTTGTTTTGCAAACACGTGTTGGGTTATACGTCATTATGCTTGCATTGTTATGCATTCGCCATGGTCTGGCAAGACCTTAAATACGCTCGGTCTAGGAGACCTTAAATCCTCTGAAGGTGCAAGTCCTTCGGTGTTTGTCGTGCCCGAACGACTTTTAGTAAGTTGCATTGTACATGTATTTCAAGCAACTCGCGTCATCGCATATTCAAGTTCACATGCATTATCATGCATTTCAAGCGATGCGCGTCGTCGCGCATTCGAGTTCATAAGCATTTCGAGCGACACGCATGGTCGCACATTCAAGATCATTTGCATTGTCATGCATATCACAAGACGTGCGTTGTCACGCGTTTACATCAGCATGCATCAACATGCATTTCAAACAAAACCAAAAAACAAAAAACAACAACATGCATATGTCATGCATTTCATTGTAATATATTGCATATGTCATGCATACCACTATATCCATTCCATTGCATATTGTAGATGTTGCATTGTAGCTTGCATGCATTCATTGCATCACCTCCATCTAGGGTTTGCGCCTTTCCTTGTTGAGCTTGGTCTGGTATGTGCCCATACTTTTCATGAGTTAGTGATGTCCCACCCCCTCTCCTCCAGAGCGGCGAGGAGAGGCCTGCATGTGGACAACCTGGAGAGCCCTCGGCAGAAGGCACCGAAGCCCGCCCGGTCCACTATGCGACGGACCGCGTCAGGGAGCTCGTCGTACCACTCCCGAGCGCCAGTGTTCCCATACCCGCGGATGGTATGGGAATCCTCCTGTAAACAGAAAATAACAAAT